ATTGTGTGACCAGCAGAAGTAGAGGTGATTGTCCCCCTGTACTCAGCACTGTTGAGGCCACACCTGGAGTATTGTGTCCAGTTTTGGGCACCTCAATTCAAGAGAGATATCGAGGTGCTGGAGCGAGTACAGAGGAGGGCAACGAAGCTGGTGAAGGGCCTTGAGAATCATCTTATGAAGAACACTTGAAGGAGCTGGGAATGTTTAGTTTGAGAAAGAGAAGGCCTAGAAATCTGCCTTGCAGAAAAAGACCTGGGGTGTTGGTCAACAGCTGGCTTAATATGAGGCAGTAGTGTGCTCAGGTGGCCAATCTTGGCTTGTATCAGGAATAGCGTGACCAGCAAGAGTAGGGAAGAGATCATGCCCCTGTACTCAGCACTGGTGAGGCCTGACCTTGAGTACTGTGTGCAGTTCTGGCCCCTTCGTTACAGGAAAGGCATGTTGTTGCTGGAGTGAGTTCACAGAAAGGCAACCAAACTGGTGAAGGGGCAGTTGTCCTATGAGAAGAGGCTGAGGGATTGTTTAGTTTGGAGAACAGGAGGCTGAGGGGAGCTGTAATTGCTCACTAGAACTACCTGAAGGGACATTGTAGGGAGGTGGGTGTTGGCCTCTTCTCTCGAGTAAATGACAGGACCAGAAGAAATGTCCTGAAGTTATGCCAGGGGAGGTTTAGATTGGATACTAGGAACAACTTCTTTACTGAGAGAGTGGTCAGGCACTGGAACAGGCTGCCCAGAGAGGTCGTGGAGTCACCATCCCCAGGGCTATATAAAAACCATGTAGATGAGACACTTCAGGACATGGTGGGCTTTTTTTTTTTGGCTTTTTTTTTTCTGAGGGGAGGGTGGGGGTTGATGGTTGGATATGGTCATCTTAGAGGTATTTTCCCACAGTTACAATTCTGTGATTCCATGAAAAGAGCTTTTAAGAATGGTCATTCAGATGTTAGGAAAGACTGTTCAATGGTTTTCTAATGTGAGAAACAAATCTTCTGTATGAAAAGCAAAAAAAGAGTTAAAGTAGAGTTTGTTTCCTGGAGAACTTGACTGGCTTAAAGATTTTGAGACAGATTCTCACTTTGGATACTCTGTTCCAGAATTTAATTGTTGCTCATGTATTACTCTTTTAATAACAATGCATCTTGACAGTCTGCAAACAGAAAAGATGAACAAGTCTGGTCTTAAAAAGCACTACTTAAAATCCCAGTATAGGAAAATAAACATATAAAATTAAATAGAGCAGGAATTATAAACAGTGGAGAAGTAAATTATATGCATATATTTTTTCTCTGGCAGACTGCTGAAGTTGTATGGCTATAGAATGATGGAAAGAGAGGTCTGCATAAGAGAACAGTGTTCAGAATACCACGTATGATAGTAATTGTCTCCCTAGTAATAAATATAGGGAGGAAACTATTTGCAAAAGGGAAAACAGTATTAACTCAGTACAGCCACTCTAGTGAATGTCTCATAATTTACTTTTGTCAGATGCAAACAGAAGGAGTAAGTTGCCTCCATGTGCTAAACTTAGAGCAGCACTAGTCTTCAGCCATGCAGGGTATAATTTCTTCAATACGGGTACAGTTCCACTTTTTTCCTGATTGGTGATATTTCTTTGTTCTAGGCAGATGTTAGGCCTGTTTCTGACTAGAACACTTCATTGTTTGAAAGTTCGTTGCTTCTCCTGGTACTTAGAGTGTCTCTATGCCTTTTACAGAATAAACTGACAAGAAAAACATCTTATGATAAAGGGAAAAACAACAGCTCTCTCTCTAGACTCTTCAAGTATTTGTTATGCTGCTGTTTCTCCAGCTAGACACATTACTTTGCTTGTTATACAGTACAAGAATAAGAAGGTGTGTAACATGGGTAAGAAACTTAATATTGAGTTGGAGACAGGAATGACATGTAATGTTTAAATAAGAGATATGATAATAGATTAACATTATTAATGAAACTTCTTAAGAAGTAGTTTTAGGGCCAACCTTATTTAATATTTTCATTAGTGCTCGAGAAAAAAAAACTAGAATTTTATAATGAAATTTATAGGTGACATAATGTTTGGAGTTGTTATTAAAACAGATGAAGATCGCAATGTCACACAGATGGAAGTGGAAGCCCTTGAATAGAAATGGAATTAAATATAGTAAATGGAATTAAATATAGTAAGACAAAGTACAAGATAATGCACTTAAAAATAATGACAAGAAATTCTGTTATTAGCATAGAGCTCATCAACTGGAAAAGGTAGTTGCTGTGGCAGTTAATCAAAGGATAACTATGAGATGCCAGTGTGATGTGGCCATGAGAGACTAAATGTAGTGCTAGATCTACCAGACAAATAGTATTGCATGAAAAAATTAATCGTATTTCTGTCCACTGATAATGTAGATTTAGTAAACCTGAATGGATTTCTCTTTCATCAACTTTTCCAGTCACACCTTGGCAGAGTATACTATATACAGTTACAGTACAGTAACTTGTAGGATTTTACAACACTGACTTTTGGCAAGGAGTTCTACAAATCTATGACATGCTGCATAAATACATAACTACTTTTGTTTCTTCCAAACTTGTTACTTACTGGATTTCTTTATACCCTGTACTTTAGGCAGTGGAAAATCCATCCTTATGAATCCTCTCCATGAAGCAATGATTTTATATAACTTTATTTTATTCCTCCTTAGTCGTAATTTTCTGCATTTATTATTTGCATATTATTTGCATGGCCATTCCATACCCTTAGTCATTATCCTCCTCTGAACCTTTTCTGATTCTACCATATCTTTTTTTAAGGTGGCAGATCAGATTGGGCATGTTTAAGATGTCGTTTCTAATCACTAAAGTAACGATAAGGCACAACTGACTTTTGATAGACAAGGAACAAATAAACAGATTTGTAATCAATTTTTTTAAGACTTTTAATAAATAATAGAGGAATATTAGAGGAATAATACAAGTTTGGATTTGATAACAAACATCCTTTTAGTCCTTCTAGTTTCTTTGTTCCTGAATAAATAATAGAATGAAGTCAAATTAACACAAACAGATTTTATAGAAAAATTGTAAAAGTGCAGTAGAAAAAGGTTCAGAACAAATTTACTAACCTGAGTTGGGAAGATGAAAATGTTTGGTTTCAGATGAAATGCAGTTTGGGATTGCATAAGCTGCCTCAAATAATCATAGTCTGCAAGAAATAATTAAGATTGTATCTCCTGTAATCAAGACAACATATTCCTTATCAATAATTCAATTTAGAATTTAATAGAACTGTGACTCCTAATATTTTACATAAAATAATGTTTTAAAGGATGTGTGAAGATCATGTGCATGAAAAATATGCAAAAATAGCATAGATGTTATAGTGGCCTCAAATGAGCAGTGACTCATAGACTTGCCTGAAATGCAAAAAAGAATTAAAGACAAGTGAAAATACTTATACTAGTGGCACAGAACAAATTGTTCCTCTGCAGAAAAATAAGTGTAGATTAATTTAAATTAGTTAGAAATGTTTTTCTTGGGAGTGCTACTCTCAACTACTGCAGATGTGTTTACTAAGTTATAGCTATGCAAATCTATTTTTACTAGACATAGTCTATCTGTGACAGCAATATGCAACAAAAGGTTACAGTTTAGTAGCCCTTGTTTAAGCAATTTGTAGTAAAGTACAGTGTAGGCATATCACTAGTGAACCCCTCTACCTCAGTCAGTGGAAAATGATATCAAAATGCTTCCAAGAAAAAAAGTGCCAAGTCAGATTTAGATCTGTAGTTAACACAGATAAACTACATAATAGCACAAATTAAGCAAAGGGTGTTACACATTTGCCTTCTGTTCACTGGAAAGCTGACTGTACTGCTGGAAACGCATGTAAGGCTCACTGAAGGCATAGGGACAAATGGAACAATACAAAATACTGGATATGATTTATGATCCTTGAAGCTCTCATCCTTTTTCTGAAAGCGACACATTCTGTGTTATAAAGGGTAGCAAGTCATAAAGGTATTTTTGGAAGAGGAGAATTGTAGGAACTTCTTATCCCAGATGAATGACTATAAAAGCAAAAAAAAAGGCAAGTTTCTCAGGGAAGAATCACTTATCAGATATTTGGGACTACTTTAGCTCTCTTGGTTGCTTTTAGCATTTAAGATTAGCTTTGTTCATTAGCTTAAACAATATATTTATTATAAGTACTTGAAAATATGTTACCTTAGTGCCCGTTGTTTGTTGATTTTACTATGATGTTTGGCTGAGAAAGAAGTTTCAGCATGAGCATTTTGGAATTGCACTGTCATTCCAGCACAGCAGCTACACAATATGCTGATCAGCAATAACACAGGAAAGGAGCTAAGTGAAGCTGCGTTAGATTTCTTCCTCCAAGGCAACACAGGCAGAAGGAAGAGGTCTGAGAGAAGACTTTCCTTCATTTCTTCCAGTGCTTCAGCCATCAGTACTGAAGGGCTGGAAGTCACATGAAAGACAGATCCCTAGTGTTTGAGGGAGAGACAGGGTGAGGGAGATTAGGTAATAGCCAAAGAAAAACAGTACTAGAGTGAGGACAGTTAGGTTAGATGGAAACAAAGTCAAATTACTTCTATAAAGGAACAAACAGAAAAATATTTCTCAAGGAGAAATGCATAATTTTCCAAGAACTTCTACTTCATATAATGAACATGTTCTTAGTGTCTAATTCTTGCTTATAAAGTCTATGGAAATTGAAAGTTACTTTGAAATATAAACAGTTTTTATAGGACAATCTAAAAGTAGTTACAGAAAAAAAAAAAAAAAAAAAACAGCTAAAAAAACCTGTAGATCGTTGACAAAATGTACTTGAAGAGAAGTGTTGCATACCATGGAAGGAAGAAAGCAATTTATAAATTGTGAGATCAATGTTATTCTTCTTTCTCGTTTGTTTCTATTTTGAGCCATATAATTTAGGCTTTTTCTAAAAATGTTACCACTGAACTATGTTGGGTTTTTTTTGTGTTATTTATTTTTAAGGTAAGAGGGCCACCACTTGCAGGAGCATTTAAGGAAAGACCAACACGTCCCACTGCATTTCGCAAATTTTATGAGCGAGGAGACTTCCCCATTGCCCTTGATCATGATACTAAAGGGAACAAAATCGCTTGGAAGGTAAGTCACGGCACAGCTGTGACAGCCAGCTAAGCTTATTGAAGTGACATCTCTCATTGTCAAAGAAAGTTGGCTTATAAGGAAATGAACAGAAATAATTCCTTAGCAAATGGAAGGTGGTGGGGAACCCATTAGAGAAAGGCCCCTGAGTCAGCTGTCTGCCTTGGCTAACAGCTAAATTATATGCTGCAAAAAGGAAGATGACAGAGTTGCTTTGCCTTAGAGAATTGTATCCTGCCCAGTTCACCTCTATTTTTATGAGGATCTGGCAATGCAGCCCATTCCAGGCAGTCCATCAAATGATGGAAGTGGCTGGATACAGTGAGCAGCAGCCATTTATCTCCTCCAAATTTCACCTTCCTGCAGGACACTTCCAAATAGAAGCTTTAATTACCTAAATGGATAGGTCAAGATTGCCTGCTCCCTGAAAATGCAGAGCAGAATACAAACGAAGGCAGATTCTCATTCCACAGCTGTGCTCTCAGTCTAGAGCATATGTCAGACAGCATAATCGCTGTCATACGTGCCCTGTTAGAGGCTGACCTCCACTGCTGAAACCATTATGGCTCCGACATTTCTCTGACAAAAGGTTAATTGGCTTCAAAATAAGTGTATTGCCTAATGACTCCATTCTAATGCAGCTGTGTTTCTCTCTAAAAGGCTTGGTGATGTTATTTGTAAAACTTGCCAATCTTCTAAGTAACTACTGCAGACTTTTACATTTAATTTGAAAAATGAATGCTGATCTTTAACCTGTTCCTACTATTTAATTATTTTTGTTATCATAAATTACTTTATTTTTTTGTCTTTGTTATTGGGACTAGAATAAGATTTTGTTGGAAGCAGGGATAGTTATAGAAAATGAACATGATATGCATGAGCAAAATATGCCATATTTGTGGAACGTTTTAATTTGTTCATGTCAAGAGCAGGATACCAGTTTTAGATGTATAGGTATGCTCATTCAATACAAAAAGGAGGGATTTTTCGAGCTTATAGCTGATTCTACTCATAATAAAGCCAACAGAATTAGACCTATAGTGTGGGAAGTGGCACTATTTGATGTGTTAGATTTAAGGTGGCTTTTTTGCTTGTTGAAGTATAAAAGAGAGATTTGTACAACGGTTTTGTTGCCCATAGCATTGTTGAAACAGCACAAGGAACAATAAATAGATCTTGCAACAAAACTTCACCCATGATCAGAATGAGATTCCAATGCAACTAATCTTTAGGCACCCCTAGAAATGCCCTTTCTCTACTGAAGTTCATAGGCTTACAACATAAGTCTGCACTCTTATCTTTCATCATAAGGTAAGACCCAAAGGTGATTTGCAAGCAACTGCAAAAAGCTGCAGAATTTAGGTTTTTATCTTGAGGCATTATAGCTTCTGATTTCTCAAAATCAGACTGAGAGGCACGGACAATTTACCTCACTTTAATTGCTATTAGATGTATATACTTTCATCATAAGGACTAGCATTCTACTAGATGATGGTGGTGACCGCTTCGTTGAATTAGGATGTGAGGAAATGGAATGAAGCTGCATCTGGGGATGTTCAGATGGGGCACTAGGAAAGGGTTCTTCACAGAGAGGGTGGAACAGGCTCCCCGGGGAAGTTGCCACAGCATCAGGCCTGTTAGAATTCAAGTAGCGTCTGGACAAGACTCTAAGTCATATGATTTAGTTTTAGATAGTCCTGCAAGGAGCAGGGAGTTGGACTTGATGATCCTTATGGGTCCCTTCCAACTTGAGATATTCTGTGATTCTATGACTAACTTGCTGTCTACAAGTGGACTATTCCATCCTTACACTAGCACATCACAGCATCTTTTCCCTTATTCCATGCCACTTGATTTAAATGCAAACCAATCCAGACTGAGTTCTGTGGCAGGCATGCAAGAAAACAATACTGAGGTGGTAGAATTAATAGAGACTGCTCTTCAATTTGTCATGCATTGATGATTATGCAGTTTAAATAGATGAAGCAGGCAAGTAGGAGTTTTCTAGTTCAAAGTTCCCATTAGATAGCTTCTGAAGTCTTAGAGACAGCAGCCCACTGCTGCAAAAGGGTGATAATGTTGCTAAGGATGTGTATAAATTAAGTTCTGTATTTTTCACTTGTTTTAAGAACATGCAAATAGTAAAAAATATCCAACTTACATCTAATGGTTAATTTTCATCAGTTCATCATACTGATTTGTAAATCTGATTAAATAAGTATTTTTTTAGAAATAGATTTTACCCAATACTGCTACATTCGTGAAACTGAAAAATATTATTTCAAACATTAAAAAAACATTTAAAAGCATGAAAAAAAGTTTCTAGGCAAAATGTTCTATGTCGTTTCAGCTGAACTATATTAATTTGCATGAAACATTATTATAATGGAAGACAAAAAGAAAAAATAATTGGTAACAGTGATATTTTAATTCTGCTATAATTGTGCAGTATGAATGTTTTATTGTGAGAGGGGTTTTTTTCTCTGTTTAGATGTAATGCATATCATGGCTCATTTCGCTCTTGTTAGTTTGTCTACCAAGTGGTGCATGAGAGAAAATGTAGGAGGTTCTCAGAAACATGATTTACTCTGACAAAGGAAAATACTACAGGATTTTGTTCTTTCCTGCAAAATGCGCAGTTGTTGTGGTTTTTTTGTTTTCTTTGTTTGTTTTTTTGTAATTACTGAAACAAAACAAAATAACCATCATTGTTAGAATTTTTCTTTTTTTAAAGACTGATTTTTTGCTCACTATATTGTAACTCTGTGGACAGAATACAGTTATTTTCTCCTAGAGTGGAAGAATCTGAATTGTTTTAATATCCATGAATTGTGTTGATATATTAAAAAAAATAAATAAATACACAAATGAGCCATGGTTTTGTAACAGTTCTAAATATTCCTAATGTTAAGCCCATGAATCATTTCCTGTAAGAACTGACTACATAAAACTATAGTCATATACCTATGTAAGATATAAATTTAAAGTTCAGGAACGCTGATAACGATTTCTGAATAACTGCATATGTCAAATCTAATTCTGAAATAATAGTACTTTGTTGTAATTTAGCTTAATTCTTTCCAAAATGCACTAGATTTAGAAAGAGGGTTTCTTACTCCAAATTATGCTATACATAGCTAAGATTAAACTCTGCCAGTAAACCATGGTATTTACCATGTTGGCTTTTCTTAAAAAAGGGACCAAAGCAAATTAGATCTCCTTACAAGATCATTACAGCAAGCTACATCTTCTGTGTGAGTTCTCAGACTAAGTCTTTAAGTTTAGAAAGGCATCTCTGAATGCTTCTGCAATATTGGCATGCTGGTTGGTGTTACTATTATTGCAAGTTCAAACAAACCTGTTTGGATGTAGCAGAAGAAAACAGGTTATCAGGTAAAATATGTTTACAACTTATAAATCATTATATACACAAACAGGAAATTGAACATATTTTTAAAGAATACCATTCAGCGAAAAAAATTATTACAAAACTTCTGATAATACCAAACTAAAATTATCTAGTGTTAGAGTCTATAATCACATTCATTTATAGAAGACATGATTTGGTGTTCCTAATCTTTGTTTTCAAAACTGGAGAAAGCTGTCTTTTTGTCATTTTCAAAGGTGAATCTAAAGAATGACTTAGGTCTGTGAAAAGAAACCTACCATCTTTTTAACTCACTACACAAATTTCTGGTTTGATAACAGTGAAACTGAAACAATCCATACAAAATTGATTCAAGACTTTCCTCTCCATTTATAGGATCTGCTAGCTGTCAGTGAATTCTATGCTAAATGGCATACACTCAATGTAATATTTTCATTTCTAATTTAAATCCTTTGCTTGTTTTCATGCTCCCGCCGTGGTCATTAAATAGAACTATATAGATATTAGTGCCTTAAAATTCCTGCAAGTGCATAACACTTTTTTTTTTTTTTTAAATATATATATATATATATCAATAGCTTTTGAGATCTAGAAATATATTACTTCTTTGTTAAATTATTCAACAAATGTTCAAGAGTCTTTCCAGATCTGAAGCATTTGTTTTTGTCAACTAACAGAGAATGAATAATAACAGTGTGGTTTGAAAATGGGTTTCTTATGTGTATCAAATGTGAATGTTCGGAATAGAAACTGTTGCTAATATAGATTTAGATAATAGTAGAAAGTGATCTTTTTAGAAAAGGGATGTTTTAAAATACTTATAACCCCTTTGACTACTTATGTGGGATCCTGTAGTTCTCCCTTAGCTTCTGTATATAAAAATTTCATTTCAAATGTAGTAAGATATTCTTTTCCACAATCTTATATAAAGCTACAAATAATAAAAGATCATAGCTCAGGTCTGAGAAGGACTTCCATTTTAAAATATACATTAGTGAATTTAAAAAGGTCAGAATGCAATTAAACCTTTGACTAAGAAAGTTGATAAAATGAAGAAAGTATTTCTGAGTTATTAAGAATGTATTTAAAATACAGTCTCTCTGTGTCATACAGAAAGTCATAAAAATGTTTGAAAAATTATTTTTTTTTAAGTGGGGTTAATTGTGAAAGTCATTATGCAGGGTGAAAAAGAGCCCATATTCTTCAAAATAATTTTAGCAATTTAAAATAAATTAAAACCAATTTAAAAAATGCAAATTTCTCAAGCAAAATGTCAAAATTCATAGAATCGTAGAATCATAGAATGGTTTGGGTTGGAAGGGACCTTTAAGATCATCTAGTTCCAGCCCCATAAAAGATGTTGAGAAGTCACTGTCATCTTACTGAAAACTTGTAAATCACTCACAATTGTTAGGCAGAATGAAAGCTTTTTGCAAAATTACGCATGAAGAGGAGTGGCCATGTATCGTGCTTATGCACAGTGGACACAGCACAGAGTGATGTTAGTTTTTATTTTATTTAATGTCTTCATTAATGTTTTAAGAAATAGTCTAGAGTTTTCTTCTGCAATAGACTTCTGATTATCATCCCCAGAGGCCTCCTTTTCTTAAGT